AAGCATGCACGAATTCTTAAGCATATCCAGGTGAGGTCCACTCTTTGGATCAGGAGTAGTATGAAGGTGTGGTTAATATCGCTTAATACTATAGTGAGGAAGTGAGTCTGAGAGGTTAACACAAGTGTGTCTCTGTAGTATTTCTTAACCTAAGGGCTGATAATGTGTTCATGCACCAGCAGACAGTTCAAGTCACTAAGTATCGGGTGATATAAGAGAAAGTATATGATTCAGAGTTAGTTCTATTTCACTTCAAGTGGGTTAGAGTCTAAGGTCTGAATGTGAGAGTAGCATGCAGGTTAAATCAATAGCGTGGCAGGTTAAAAACAGGCTATAATGTGATAAAGTTGTGAGTTTACAACCAATTTTCAGTTCGAGGTCGCTTTAAAGCTCTAGATTGTGAGGTGTTTCATGCGCAGAGTCAGTGTTTGAATATTCCCACTCTCAACTCAGTTACCCTAATCGGCCACCAGGGGGCGACAGAGGTTTATCTGTTTTGGTTCGCGATTTAGGATTAAAGAGGAAGAGTAGGGGGCTGTCGTCAGCGATGGCGGCTTTAGTCCCGCCCACTGGAAGACTATCGCAGCTCAGGTGAGACGAGGTTAGTCTTGCGCAGAGCACCACGCAGGCAACTTCTCCACAGCTTTAAACTTTTTCAAAGAATCAATCACGAGGCACGGCGGCCTCGGGCACCCACCACGGGCAAACACCACGCGCAACTATTGCTGCAGTATTCAATTTCCAACCCAAGTCTCCTTTTGGGTTTTTTTCAATCAATCGTTTCAAGCACTATCCCTATTTGTATTGTCAATTATTCACGGAGCTAGGGTTACGCTCCGTAATTGAGACAATATTCAAAATTTTCAACACAGGTCCGTTCTGGGACCTCAGACAAGAAAGCACTTTATTTCCTTTCTCATTCAAACCACAACGGTGTTTGACGTTAGACGGCGGGGATTTCTCTTTAAATCTCCCGCGTAGGTATTCCCTACGTATAAACCTCTGCTGCGACAGGTCGCAGTTACTGACTTGTTAGGTAGCTAAGCTAACAGGCTAGCGTCGAGGGTCTGAGGCAGGCTGAATTCACCGGGACTCGCGGACAAATCCACCCACACTCAGGGTGGATTAACAACTGGCTATTGGGACACGCAATAGCTATTTTTCCACCAACAGGCCTTTTCAATAAGCGTATGATCACGCTGTCGCATGCAATTTTAGATAAATAGCGTAAAGCTCACCGGCTCTAGCTACAACACTTTTCTAGGCTATCATTAACGTTGACGGGTGTACGCTTAGGTACGTTACCGCCACCACTGGTCGGGGAAATCACTGTCGGCGCAGTGACTCCGTTCGACGTGTTCAGCCTAATCAACGTGCGTCCACGTTATTATATCCAGCCACACAGTTTACCACTGAGCTTAGATTCTAGGATTTGCAAATAAAATTTCAAGGTTTCAAATGCTCACACACAACAGGTAACAAGCACAAAGCCAAAATGCAATTGAATCAGCAGATAGAGAGTGAGGCCACTCTCAGCATTCAACAGGTTTCTTTGTAGTGAAGAACGGTAATTTGAAATCGCCTCACACGGGGCACCAATATATGTAGCGTGAATACCACAATTTGAATTTTGCTCTCGTTAAAAGAATGGGGCACCAGTCCTCAGGGAGGACAATTTGATTAAAGTACAGATTGTTTTGATCAATCTCACATCCAAAGTTGTGATTTCTCGATTACAGGGATCTCCGATCTTCACCTCAAAGAAACACAGGCAACGACTGGGTTACGTTGATAATATTTATTGACTAACTAAACACAGTAAAATGAACAAGGATAATGACATGAATCTATAACTAATAATAACTATATCTACCAGCTGAACTAGCAGTGATTTGGGCGATGGTGAAAGAGAATGGATTTAGATATGTGTATAGCATTTATTCGTAACGGTGGAGAATTATTAAATCGGGATTAGTATTATTCCGACATCAACCCAGTTCGGAGCAAAGGATAGAGTTGCCTACTTTGAGTAGCGGAGCGCTGTTGAGATCCTGGCTGGAGCCCCGGAGTTTGGTTGCTAGGCGACGGGGACGCCACACTCCAAGTGGGTTTCTCTCAGAGACGACGGCCGTTGCCAGGGGTGACGGGCTCTGCCGATGTCTCGGTGGATCAGCGTCGGCGCAGTCTGCCAGCAGACTTTCTTCGTAGGCACTCTCGAGATCTGGTTAGCCGGTCCTGGTGTGGCGTGTAGCCGGAGGGCCGGAGGTTGACAGCGGAATAAACGCTAGTATTTGACTTAATTTGCCAGATAAGTTGGAAGGAGTTGGTGTTGGCCAAACGACGCAAAACCTTCAAAATCTTCTAGACAAAAGCTGGATTTTGTCACAAAAGGAAAAACGACAAAATTACTTATACACACCTGTGTGTGATTCAATTTGGAAGGCTTGGCTTGTTGAAATAGTAAGGCAAAAATCGCGCACCAAAGTGTAAGAAGTAAAGTTTAAGCTAGAAACGAACGTGAGCTAGTGCGCGAAACGAGGCGTAAGAGTTAAGATTGTAAGAAAAGTTGTAAGACGAAGGATTGTAAAAGAAGCTATGCAAAAGAAGACGTAAAAGAAGAAGAAGAAAAAGAAGAAGAAGAACGAGCCCTGGAGGATCCTGCTGTTTTATCCTCGGGGTGTGTGTAGCTGGGGGGGGCTTGACAGTTGTCGCCACCCCTTTGGTCTTCCTTCTCTTTCTTTGTTTCAATAAAGAAAGAGAGAAATAAAACCTTAAGTTAATTTGTTTAATTTGGTTTTACGCGCAAGTGTTGCATATTCTACTCCCACCATGGCCCATTCATTTTGACAACGGCCTATATCAACTACCTAGCTAAAGTTTGGAATATACAAGATAACTAATAAAATCATCATGTTTAACAACACACATAGAATACATAGATCAATGAAAGGATAACAATTTGTAACCACACAAATATATAGCTAAGTTACAATATAAAACAGTAATGTCAGAGTGATGCATTAAGTTTGTCTATTTCTTAATTCCCTAAGGGAAAAAGGGGTCCAGTCTGGTCCTTAGATGGCAGTATTGTAACATGGTGGATATTTACCTTAGAACTAATAAAACCTATCTCAGCCTCCATGTGGGCTACAGAAATGAACTTCGGATCATACTTAGTTGAAATCTTTCCAGAGTAATACTGCATGAATTACCTGGTGATAGGACGTTTGGTTCAATGACATTTCAATCATGCTTTATAAAATGTGGAATAGTTCATCAATCCGGCTTGGAATGTAGGATGGTTTTATGGCGGGGGTCTGTGGTTCCTCGTGAGACCCCCCTTTGGGTAAGAAAGGGTGTTAAAGGTGAGAGTGTTGTTTTCTCTTGTGAGAGAAGATGAACCAGGAGTGTGAATCCTGGTGGTTTAGCACCTTGATGGCTAAATGTTCCTTTTCATGTTATTTGATAAGAGGTGGCACCCTCCTATCAATCCCGGATGAGTGTCAGGGATGAAACATGAATTCATTGTCAGTCTGTGGGGGAGAGTTGTGTTTGTCTCCCATTTGGTGCAGGAGTGTTGGTTCAGAATGAGTTCGATGAGCTAGCCATAAATTCCGATGGTATCTTCAAAAGCTAGTCTATTGGTGAGGGGAACTCATTTCGTCCCTGTTTTCTATCCATGTGATGGTTTGATGATGGGAAAGTGGACATGGGAGGCTCCCCATATCCTCCAGAGCACCCCAGTGTCCTTACCATAAATCTGGTGTCTGGTCACTGGCGTCCACCAGTGTCCGCTACACTATAAAATACATAAACAATATAGGCAGTGGTATAACTGGTATTGATATTCATTATTATGAATCAGCAGTATGAACATGTATACACTGTGGCTCTGATATAATCAAACAGTCTCTTTGTCTTACTTGTAAAAGTGAGTGAATGATAGAATTTTCCTCACCTAGACCCTCCTCACTGTGTCTGTACACTCTCAGCCATGGGTGTTGGTGGGACAGGTGGCTGAACTGGGTCAGGTCCTGATAAAGACAGAGGTTTGCTGAAATCTTCTCAGAAATGTAAAGGCCCAGTGAACTTTCAATCCTGCCTGATCTCATAACAGTAATGTAAAGTGCTTACAATATGATGAACCAATAAATGTGTATTCACTTGGTCTACTGGATCCATACAATCTAAAAGTACAGTCATAATAAAAATAAGCCTAAAGTTACTGATGTAACTAGCTGGACAATAGCTGGCAGGAACAGACTAAATTCCACTAAATCGCTGAAACGTCTGTCGACTTTATTCCACTTGAAATGTTTGTCAGTACAGTTTGTCATTTGCACTAATGATATTTTTCACTAAAGAACAACATTAGATGTTACTCACCAGTCTAAAAGAAAAGTTGTGATTTCGGCATCAAATGTACCTCTTTACTCTTCAAGCGCTGTCTCCAGCGGTGGAAAGACACACCAAGATTTGCTTGTGTTTTGCTTAATTTCTTTGCCGTTCAGCGTGGTTTCTTGTCGGGAGCGGTCCTTTGAGATAGAGATAAGTCTAGATGCTACACTGACTCACACAGCATCTAGTGTCACAAAGTGGTATTACAACACGGTTGGGGCTCACTGGTTAGTATGCTAATTTTAGTAGATATCTCTGAAATACAATAGATGGAGGTTTGGGTCATGACATCATCCTGTGGCTTCTTCACACTCTGTTGATAGTGTTAGTTCATTTTTTGAACATTTTAAATTAAAATTCTGACCAGATCTTACACATTGCACCTTTAAACTGAATCTGGGATCCCAAATAGACACACACACACCCACACACACAAACACACACACACACACTTTAAATACAAGCAAAGGAAGTTTCCTGTCCTTCATCTGTCCCTCATTTCAGGGCTCAATCAGTTCATTTGGATGTAACTATGTAAGTATTGTATCCTTAAGTATTCTCTGTCTTAAGCATCTATGAAAACATGCAAACAACTTCTTAACCTGTCTCTTATGTTGCAGGTATCAAACTGGAGTCCATTGTAAATTCCCAGCAGTCGCTGTTGGACATGATTGAGGTTGACCTGCTGACCGTTGATGGATATAAGGCGTATGCAGCCCTGAAAGGCCAGAGTCAGGTTCTGACAGGCCGCTGGGGGACAGCCTGGGTGGAGATGACACATCATTATCATAACCTGCTGGAGAACAACACAAACCACTCTGGATTTATTCTGATGTTGTTTCTAGACAAACAGAGAAATCAGAGTTGTACAACCACACGTTGCACATTCACAGACCTCCAAAGTAGAAGTTGCCTATGGCCTCCAGTTGTTCCCACTTCTCAATGGTGGTGGCCGGCTCACTGTCCAGGATCAGAGTGATCTGTAGACCTCTGGTGTCCAGATTGACAGAGTGCCACAGTCCATCATTGACTCTGTAACCTGGGGACAGAGGAAAGTACTTTACATCATTGAGGATGAAAACAGAACAGCTGTGTATCTTAAAGACTGTCAACAACAGAGACAACAGAGTTTAAAAGAGCAGGAATTTGGTTCAATATGATATTTTAGTCAGTTGCTATTGAGGAAGAAAATACACATTTTGGGTAGTGGGGACTTGGCACCTGTCTGTCTGCATGCAGTGCCATCTTCCCTTGCTAAATTCCTCACTGTTTTACAATACCGTTACCTTACTAAGTGATTGAGTCTGGTTTTTCTGTCCATCTGCCCGGGAGCAGTGCATAATGGTATATTTTTTGTTAGGGACCATTGGTCGCACACTACTTTTCATGATGCATTGTGGGATACTATGAGTCCGCTACATAGGGTTTAATAATTGTCACTATACTTTTGGACAGCAAAATGGTGAATTCCCTATATAGTGGACTATATAGAGTAGTGGGTGATTTCGGACACAGCCATAGATTTTGCGTAAAGATGGATGACATCACAGCTCCCACAAATGAAGCTGAAACATTTTGATCACCTTCTGGTGGCTGGCTGCAGTACAGGTCATAAACCCCGCCCCCTCCATGTTAGACATTGGCCAAATGAACAAATCAAATCAAGTACACGTCAAATACATTTTTCGCAAAGGTGGTGTCTGTCTCTTTGGGTAGTTTATGTTTGTTCAAGTGTTCATTCATCTAATATCTGATGTAATAAAATGTTAGTCTAATGTCATGATAGATAGCTGTGATTGACTTGCAATTGGGTCGAGAGGGTGTATGGGTGGTACTTTAATACCGTGACCCCACCCCCCTGTGCAGACTGGGGCTCCAAGTGATGTCACCAGCGAAGGATGACAGCACTCATATCTGGGATCATTTGGCTTTGTTTTTGTACAGTGGGAGGAAGTGGAGACAAGCCAGCTGCCCTCCCCCCCCCCACCCTCTGAGAGTCACAGAGAATTTGGACACACAACATAAAAGGAGAGTAATTAAACGATGAATGGACACAGAAAAGATACAAGTTTACACTTGTACACCACATGCTGCCTAACTGATGTAGTTAGTGTGTGCCTTAAGGTCAATGCTAAGCATGCAGTATGTCTCTGTTAGCAGATCAGCCTGTGTAATCTGCACCTTTTAGTACACTGAGCATCCAGTGACACCTGTGTTTGTACCATAATACCTGTTAGAAGGTTAGTTAAAGTTAGAAAAAGTGTGTTTGCTATTTTCTGGTTCTTGTTACATTTCATGTTTGAAGTAGAGGAATAAAGCTTTAGCTAGTAATACTTGTGTGTGTTTCAGATTATACACTGGTAATTGTTATTAGAGCGTTGTTCGCTGATGTGAGGCACGACTGACATTCATTCAGTCGTTCATCCAGCTCTGAACGTCTCTGAACATTTATTTAGACTTTAGCGGCCTGATGGAAGAGATGCAACCAAGATGGTGAAGAGCAGCTAATTTAAGCTTTCCAAACATGATGTTGAACTGTGTATATAAAATACGGAAACCTGTGTGATACCAAGGTCGTAGGGAACTGGACATCCGTCTCCAGGCAACACAGGAGTGCAGGGGCTATTAGTTAGGAACCATTTCAATTTACAGTCATTGATGTAAAATTATCATCATGTATCATTGTTCATTTTCTTCAAGTTGTGTGTGTGCATATTTGATAAATACAAGTTTTCGTATTCAGACAGTTACTACATATTGTCCAGGCTTTACACTACCCCATGTTTCACTTTCCCCTGCTCTCTTAGAATCTATTAAAATCCATGGATGCCTGTCCTCCTCCCAGACGACGGCGGGAGCCTTGGGCATCATTCTCTCTACTCGATTGGCTGTTTCACGGAACAAGCAGAATAGCCATGAGAGACTGCTTGCAAGTTCTCTCCCTGTCACGCATTGCATCAATATCAAATGAGCTGGAGGTAACAGAACAGTAGATGTAGGCTGTAATTTCTATCACATCACTGATCCAGCAGCTCAACTGTCTCAAAAAAGAAAACATTTGCTTATATCACATCAGCAAAAGGTTTCTCATCACGCTGCTGGTTTCCCGTGTATAATCTGTCAAATGTTTCTCAGCCCCAATGGTACCCCCCCAGGAAACAGCCCCCATCTGAAAGTTTATGATGTCACTTCAGGACTTCATCACTACCTTATTTTAATGTTTTTACGGAGTAATGGAGAGTGGCAGAATGGTTGTTGCACTTATCTTACTGTAGGTGTTTTGATATATAGAAGGTATTATAATAAATCATCTGTGAGTTTCAACTATATTTTTTACAATCTAAAGTTATTTTATGGTCATTTAGCCGGATGTCATCCTCCATGTTTCTGCTGTCTTGATACATTTAGTATAATGTACATTTCTACAGCAATAATTAAATTAGTACAACAACCACCATGTTATACTCGCCACTCTGCTGATACTCTCAATCTCTACTTAATCACAGTCAGTTCTACTCTTTAGTTTTGTTGAACTGTGTCAAGCTGCTCTCTAACACTGCTGCACATATATTTCACATTCAAAACGTTACTGCGAGGGAGAGTCTGTCAGGGTTGTCAGGGTTTGTGGGGGTAAGGCTGGACCCAAATGCAGCCAACGCATGGGAGATGGTGCACACAGGTTTATTAAACTAACAAAAAGGAACTTATACAACAGCACAGGGAACCACAGGGGATGACAACAGGAGAACATGAACAGGTAACATGAACAGACTGAAAACAAACCAGACATGAACAAACTAAGGACAAACCAGACATGGACAGGCCATGTGAACAGATTGATGATTAAACAGACATGAACAGATCGAGGAAAACCCAGAGAACAACAGAGAGACAACAGTGACAAACCGACCCAGACAAAGGGGAGCACAAAGACTATATAGACAAGGGAGGCAAGGGTGACTGAACACAGGTTAAACACATTAGGGCGGGGCAGACAATCACCACGTAGACACAGGACCAAGACAGGAAGCAAAAACACTGACACACAAGGAAACCAATTACAAAATAAAACAAGAAGTGCAAAAAGTCCAAACAAAACTAACAAAAGATGTCTGCCATAGCAAACCATGACAGAGTCCCTCACATTACTGATGGGCATTTAATGGGCAGGAGATGTTGAATTTCATTGAAACTCATGGCAAGGCAGAAGCAATTATTTGAGTGCTAACCCTGTAGGTTTATTATTCATTGCTGCCCGATTTGCTCAAATTCCCATGAGCTGGACTAAGCTAGAAAACATGAAACTTGGCACAAAGGAAACTGGAAATGATGGGCATGTGCCAAATCAGACACATGGCAGCACTGTTCGAAAATGCAATTTTGGGAAGGCCATGCCAATTTGACACCCCAATCCAGCTCAATGTTCTCTACAAGAAACCTTCTTGGAACACAAAAGTCAGCTATGATGGATTTTTTTTGCTAATAAGCACAATGTTAAAAACAGTAAAATGAAAACAACTTTTTGAGTTTTGGCTTTATCAACACTAAATTTGATATACAGGGTGGGGGACTGAAACACAGATTTCTATTATAAATAAGCAAGATTGGTCTTTGCAAAAGGTGGAGTTTAGCCAATATTGGCCATAACTCCAATCATTGGAGTAAATTTGGGATAAATTAAAGGTGTAATGTATAAAATCTGGCTAGATCTGGCCAGAATTTAGTTTAAAATGTTAAAAAAATGAACTAACACTGTCAATAGTATGTGAAGGAGCCAAAGTGATGATGTCATGACCAAGACCTCCATCTATTGTATTTCAGAGATATCTACTGAAATTAGCATGCTAACCAACTAGCTGCGTCCCGGGCCGTGTTGTTATACCACTTTACACTAGATACTGTCTTAGTCAGTGTAGCGTCTATTCTGCGCTAAATCCCAAGAAGAAGAAGTGCTTTCTCCAAAGCTCCTGACTTGCATCACAGAAAAGCAGAGTTGTCTGAAGGGTCTATAAAGCGATCTTTATCTCCATCCCAAAGGACCGCTTCGATAAGAAACCACATTCAACGGCAAAGAAGCAAAACACGGGTGAATCCTGGTGTGGTTTTTCACTGCTGGAGACAGCTCCAGGTAAAGGGATGTGGTTTGATGCCGAGTTTGCAACTTTTCTTTTAGACTGCTGAGTAGCATCTAATGTTGGTCTGTAGCGAAAAGTATCATTAGTGCAAATGACATGCCGTACCGACAAACACATTAAGTGGCATAAATGTATAATTGATGATGTTGACAGACATTTTAGTGATTTAGTAGAATTTAGCCTGTTCCTGCAGCTGTTGTCCAGCTAGATGCGTCAGTAACTTTTCTTTTACAAGTAAGACAAAGAGACTGTTTGATCCAGAACCAGTGGGTTCAGGACCTACTTCCTAATACTGTATTTATTTTAGCATATTCATATCTATCCTTACTATTTATTATACACACACATCAGACCTAACATGTTTGAATAGAAAGAACTTCTATGTGTATAATCTAAACTAATTGTCCTATCACAGTTTGTCTGTATCAGGACCAGAATTCCAGTCCAGTCATCCTCAGTGAGGGACCAGCACCTGCCTCTTCTTCTGCGTCTGGCCTCATCAATCATCAACATCCACATTACAGTAACACCTTGGAGTATTACCCCTGCACAGAACAGATATTGTCTATACTGCGACCTTTTGCACATCATGCTCAGCAGGAAGTTTATCTTTTGACTGACTTTTGTACATAGTTTTTTTCATTGTTTTATTTTTTCAATATGTGTATCTACAGTTGAAACCAGAAGTTTATATACACTGTATAAAAAGACACATAACCTTTTTTTTCTCACTGTCTGACATTAAATCAGACTAAACTTTTCCTGTTTTAGGTTAGTTAGGATTACCAAAATTAAATATATTTGCTAAATGCCAGAATGATGAATTTTTAGACAATTTTTTATTACTTTCTTCAAAGTCAGAAGTTTACATACACTAAGATTACTATGCCTTTAAACAATTTGA